GATTTTTCTTATATGAAGTGAGTCAATGAAACAGAGGCGGTTTGATTCTGATGTGCGGAGTAGAATGATCATGATTGGTTGTCTGCTTAGTCAGACATGTAGACAGTCTGACAAATATCAGATAAGTTATATATTCCCTTATCCTTATTATTGTGACACTTACCCATTATTAATTGTTCATTGTTGTGGATTGTGTCGGTTTTTGGTGTGAAAATATACTCACGTTGTGGTCAGGCTAATTACGTGTTCTTCATCTGAGTTGTGTTGACGTCCTGTAGAATAGACACTGGGAGGGATCTAGTGTAGATAATCGTTTAATCGTTATAACATTAGACGAAGTAATACCGAGCGCTATAACAATTGGCGACGGGGTGAAAAACAAAGAACCTAAGGTACAAACCACAAGTTATAACATTGCCGACGGTTAATAAAACGGATCTACGCCTATATATTCGTTTAAAGTGGATTTTATAACATTAAAATGGATGATCTGAAAACTTGTTTAAAGCGTTTTATAACTTCGAATACCTGTGGCATCTTTATTGGTGAGCCTTACGTGATCTGGTACAACAAATCGCAAACCGTGAGTTCGTTCTTTATTGTGATTTTATGTCATTGTCTTAGTTTAATTTTTTCTATATTGTGATATTTTTTCCATGTTTTTGGATATATATATTTCCCACTCGTTTTTTTTTCGTACTTGATATATCACCATGACTGAACAGACACCTAAGGTATTTAAGTTGAAGACCGTTTACGAACTTTCGTTCTAACTAATGCCCTTCTGGCCAGACAACATCGAAGCCTGGTTTTGCTACGCACTGCGTGAACGACACACGTGCACAATTCCTCGCAGTAGTCAAGGCACTACCGCGCGAATTCAACAGGTACGTGACACCTAGTATGTCTACTAGTGATGTTTCAGAACCCTATGAAACTCTTAAACGATCCATCTTTAAATGCAGAGATCTAACCGATCGACAAAGGTTAGACCAACTCCTCAACAACATCCACCTGAAACACGGTTCTGACACAGACATGTTGCAGAGAATGAGAGAAGTTATTGGCCAAAGAACTTCCAATGATGGCCTATTCAAACAACTTTTCTTATCAAAACTTCCTCAACAGGTGTAAGCTGTTTTCAAAACAACTCCGTAGACGAGCTGGCTGCATCTGCTGACCGTATCCTTGAAATCACAAAATCTTCTAATGCCGAGATTTTTTCAGTCAAAGAAAAGCCTTTAACGACTCAGAATGACATAGCAGAGTTATGTCATCCACTTACACATTATCCTGAATTTCGTAACGACCGTAGAGGGTTACACACTCGGCGAAGAAGCACTTTACGTAGGCGATCTGTCTCTAGGCCTCAAGAGACGGATAACCCCGACTGGTGCTGGTATATAACCATTATGGAAAGTCCCCCAGAAATTGCAGAAAACCCTGCAATAACTATATCTTTTATTGTCTGATTTTTTTATTTTTATTCTCCATCGGATGCCTGCCACAGAGTCCTAATGTAAAAGTCCGAGTTAGCATGTTATAGGCTGTCTTAGTGGAATATCTAATTCAGCATACAATTAGAAATATGGGTCTGAATAGTGAGCATAGGAGAACAACCTCAATATCACAGATTGATTGACTTGTTCTCGGTCATAAAGAGCTTGATACATACAACATGTTCTGACCCGCACACATTGGCGGATTGAAATCATAGCCTTCATCATCAACGCTTGCTAGTCAGTAACTCCATCCTCCCTCCTTTTGTGATGTTATGCTGATTTAAGCTTTTTTGGATATACACCATACCTCACACAATGCTCTGTGTTTCACATCCTGTTGGAAAACACTATCTCTATAAGTACCACTTTACAAGCTTATCAGGCAGTTAAAAATTATGGACTGTGGGTAAGTCATCGATGCAATGCTTTGATTGACTATAGTATCTAGTATAGGTTGCCAATCGGAGTAAAGGCTATAAGAAGGGTATATTGTAATATAGTTTTTTTCCAAAGTAGGCGAAAAAGTAAAAAAATATTTGAGTTATAGATAGGGTAACGAGTGGTGAAATAATATTAATGATAAGTTAACATAATGTACAGGAGAGTAAAAAGATGATAAAGAATAAACAAGAAGGAACCCACATTAACTTCGTGCTGATGTTATTTTGTTCTATCCTAACCGGTTGATGAGTAACAGGTTCCCTAGATGCAAGATGACTGTTAGTAAGGGGTCGATTGTGCAGTTCTTCTGACTTAGGGTAGTAGTGAGCGTCTCTTAATGACCCAATATCCATAGGTCCAGTGAGTTATCTGTCTACTTCAAGTAAAAGATCAGGGAGAAAAAGTATCTAATACGACTACAAAGAAGAAAAATAAGGCAAGTTAGTCTGCGTATGTAGATAGCTTATGATGTCTGAGTGGGACGCAGATGTTTTCGTTTGTGCTAGATCTGTGCAAGTGAGGGCTTGATCGATAAGTCTTACAAACGCATGTAATTCATCTGACGTGCGTATTTCAGAGGGAAGACTGTTTCATATTAATGCAGACTTGGTGAGGAAGCAGTCTTTCCAAGTGTTCTGACCCTTATTTACTATAGCTGAATAGTTTCCCTGTGCCTGTGAGGCGAATGTGTAGTGGCATCGGGCCATAACCATACAATACTGAAAGCTGAACACGAGACAACTGGGAAAATACGTATTCAATATTTAACGCGGGGAAAACCCAACGATGGAGAAAGTGAGAGCGAAAAATGGAATGAATTCGAATCCATCTGACGACTTGGCCCGGCCTTACAGGCGTGGTCAATGTTAACTGTTATCTTATATCTTTTGTTCATATTAAATATATTGTTCTAGCTCTAGCCTAGGTGTGTTCTTCATCATATATTGATGATTGTTACAACGCGATGAGTTGGTGCAGATAATAATGTAACTTCCATGTAAGATCTCATAGATTAGGCAGCTACATCATTACAAATCTACAATTTTTGGATTAAGTCTATTATTAGAGCGATACTAATATCATAATAGACCATAATTCTACAAATGCAAGTTCATTCGGGTTATTTTATATAGCAGTTTTAGGAGGACTACTTGATTAAGTTAAATCGGTTGCTTATCGTCATATGGCTCATATTCAATTAGCTTACTATGCAAACAGTCTGGATTATAATTAAGAATGACATTATGGTTTTTAATGTCAGTTGGAATCCTCATATCATTCACAAATATCTGATCTCTAGACTCATCTAGGACTATAAAGTGATATATCGTCTAGATATTCACATCATACTCATGATGAATGTTTCGGAAATCGTTACATTATTGGAAATTGTCCCTAGTTGTTTATTAGGTTCAACTTGCACGTATGATCCTGTCGCTTCACGTCCATTTACACGGCATTCTCAAGGTGTTTATTTCTGAGTAACCTCTATATTTTAATATGGAATCAATGAGCTAATATTTTTGCTCGAATTAATAAACTTTTAAGTATCCCTAAAAGAGCTAAATCTAAACAGAAAGGAACATGTTGATCAATCCGATTTTTTCCAAGGCTGAAAGTCTTAACAGTTGTCGTTGAGCATACCACATGCTCGACGGCAAATATTCCCTAGCTTAGCCACAAGGTCTAAGACACACTCAAGTTTATTCAGTTGTCCGAGAGTAAGCATAAACCGCATGGAAAAGTGTTGCCACTTTCAGAGATCTCTGAGAAGGGTCAAGACTAATAAGATGTTAGTGAAGAATGACTAGAAGGTCAAAGACATTCTGCCCAAATTACAAAGCAATATAAAACTTATATAATACGGTGCTTAACAGTGGTCTTCCTTCAGATCGTGTTGAATATTTTCAAGTTGTTCCAATCCTCGTATTTATTCTTCTAATGTACACTTTGTAGTTACTACTGATGCCCTATCTGTAGACATTGATGCAGTCTTAGAACAGGTAGGTAGGACCGTAACGTGCTTAACGTAAACGTACTGATGCCAAACAATGTTATTCATGAACTCAGAGGGGAACATCAGCAGTATTTTGAAGCACTTAACAACTTTATAAGCATTTGTTTTGAAAGAAATTCACTAATGTTTCGTAAGGCTCTAGAGTCTGCTTATCACCCTGAAAAATCCTAGTTACAATGCCTAAACAGTAAAGAAGTGCTCCGAATACATTTAACTGTATTATTTGACAAAGAAAGGCTTAGGAAATTCAACGTATACACTACATTTCCTGACAGTCATTTAAAGATAGACCTCTAAATACAGAAGATGGTTTAAAAAGAAGATCTTACCGGGAAGCCACTTGAATCTCATTGGAAAACATCGTCTATACCTTCAATATATATACTACATGCTATGTCAAGAGTTTGAAATGACAATCTAGAACGTAGATTTTCACACTATTTCGCCAGGCCTGATCAATAATGTACCACTCTGATGGTACTTTGTATTTAAAGGATCATATTGTTATCCCGCATTTGTCGCGTGGATCTGTCCTTGGAAAATTACAAAGTGGATAATTTGGTTTTGAGAAAATGCAATCTTTGGTAAGGTTCAGATGTCGATTTCTGTGGATAAATTAAGATATATTTTGTACAGCAAACAATTATGATAAATGTCACGACTTAAAAAGTCATCCCTCAAAGTGAGCTCCATTGACACTATAGTCTGAAGTCTGGCAGAGAACCTATGCAGAAACATATATCTAATTGCATTATTGGGAAATAATCCAGTCCACCAGTTCATCGTCATGTGCAATAGCATATGAAGTTAGACGAAGCAGCTGAAGTTAATAAAGTACAAAAAACAATGTAGTCATTTTTTACTTACACACTAAGAGTACTATTTAATTACTGTGTAAACTCCATTCAGGACTGTTCCGAAAAGTTGATATTGCATATTCGAACGACTACATAAAAACTTCACAAGAAAGAACTACTATATTTATTCGTTGTTATGATGATTATTAAAGTTCAATGTCACCGCGATTGCTTATCCTCTTTGTTTAAATCAGGCATTTAATATAAAAGCCAATATGTGGGTAAATTTTAGTTAGTGTTTCTTTGGCGTGGTTTCGTGTGAACGGAGAGTGTGGCATTTGTTGTGATCCACCTACGAGTTCACTTATTCGTATGGTATTGTAAAATCATTGTTTTATTATACTAGTGATTCGGGAGTACTCATGTGTAATAATCCCCTAAATGACACACCTAATTTTATCTCAAGATTCTATTTTTTCATGTTAAGCCATAAAAACACGAGTCAGATAATCTGTCTGGAATTATTCCCAAGATCTACAATAAAATGTCTGTATAAAAACGTTGACTGTACAAAGGTGAAGATTGTAAGTGAAGGCGAAATACATAGACACTATCCGACTGACACGGATATAAGTCACTATTATTTTGGCTTTATCAGTCCTTATTAGTTTTGATAATTTCTGGTCTGAAAACCCTTTGTAGGTACATATGACCACATCTCAGGGATATAAACAGTGGACTGATAAGTCAGTGACTCCGTGCTATGGGAAGCAGTCATCGTACTTGTATATTTAATCAATAGAGCTACTAGATAACATCAATAGTTTGGATGGTAGTACCTTTTGAAAGGTAGTATTAAAAGCCTTCTAGTGGTGTAAAACTAGTCAAACTTTAACTTTGTATGGGAGCATTCAGATGTTCTTTGTTGATTGATAATTTAAAACTGCTCCTGTATACATTTGTAATTCAGAATTGTGAGTGCTTGTATGCTTGATGCTCCTGAAATCATACATGCGATGTTGAAAGGAAAAAACAGTATAGCTCTTAGTTAAAGATAAGTTTTACAACGAAACCATACTAGCTGTCGCTTTGGAATTATAGATTCTATACCAGAACACTCGTGAATGATACTAAAGAAAAAGCACCCCACTTAGTTGGAATTAAATCGACAAATATGACGAGCATTTTTGTGGCTATTATTTACGGAGCTCAAAGTTGTCGATCTAGTCATTGTGATGTTGGAATGATTATTTATTTCATTGCACATTATTTCTGTGTTATTTTTCATTCCTGGTCGCATATTCAAAACCACTTATTGCATGTTTGTAGATTTTAAGGAATCAGTGAATCGCCTATCTGATTATTTGTTCGTTTGTCTTTCTGGTACTCGCAATATATCGCTGCTAACCTGAAGCACGTTTTCCTCGCTGCCAAATAACCTGTCGGGAGAATAAATACGAGTCCGTTAACAATTCGAAGTTGCACCATGTTTTCTGTATTGGTGTCTTGTGGTACATATGATGGTAGTGTCTTTGCGTTAGAATATCCCCATTATACTATTGATATTGCTGGTCCGAAACTGTTAAAACCACTATTCATCGACCCAACAGCACATCCTTCGCCAGTCACAACAGTAGCTACGAAGGATGATGTGGTTATTTCTGGAAGTAGCGATGAAATTATTCAGGTTAGTTCACAAGGTTTTGAATTTTTATGTATATACACTGAACCATGTTTTAAGACTATCCCACTCTCAGTATTTGTTGGAGTGCACCAAAGTAAGAAGCGACCGAATAACTGTGACCTATTATTTCTCTGCATCGTACCTTTGTTTTCCCGGTTACAGAGCTATAGCTTTTACCAGTACTACTATCTGGACACTATAGTGGGATTGGATATGTGGCGATCTACAAGTCTCTTCTCCAATAGTACCATCCTCATGTTAACTAGATATTGTTGTGGTTGTATTTGCAAACCAGTCATAGTAACTATGAGTTGTTTTCTGTTTAGGGAATATAAAACATTCCTCACATTTATGCTCACTTAATGTATTAGCGTCGCCGAAATAAACAAGCAAGCAAGTTGCTCTCTGGTTAGTATAGTGGCAAATTAACATTTGGGAGGAAAAACAAGTTCCAGTGATCGATAGTAGGCTAGTTCTCATCAAATCACTTAAGTAGTTAGTATTACGCAGTGATTTTTTGCAATAGTGACAGAAATATCCTCAATTTTGTTTTATTAGGTATTTTCGGTACTCACAAAAACTCGTGTAGGTGCACTCGAAATGCATGTTGGGACCATAAGACAGCTTCAATTTATTACAGAATCGCATGACTCGACCCACTCTCATTTCTTCAGTGCTGGTGATGATGGATGTATCGGCATCTGGCGTTGCGAAACTCCAGGAGGTAAACTTACCAAATGCCCACATCCATCGACTTGGGAGTGTATTCGTCAACTTCGTCGCCATAAAGGGTCAGTCCAAAGTATAGCAGTGCACCCTTCCAATCGCTTTCTTTTCTCCATCAGTGCAGACAAAACGTTTCGTGTATGGAATCTTCTTCGTGGTCGACAGGCTTATGCTGTTAGACTAAAAAATCTGGCAAACGAGGCGAATAAAATCTCAATGTCACCTACTGGTAATCGTCTTCTCTTTATTTGGCCGAATAAATTTGAAATGATTGATCTTGTAAGTGAATCACAGACAAGTTCCGATACTATCGAAAATGAAGCCTTTATCCTTGGCAGCGTCCAGTTTTCTAATCCCCCTACATCAGACCCTACTTTCTTCAGTGAAGATGATGAACTCAGTAATCAAAAGTCTTCAGACCCCCTGTTTGCATATGTAATGGTTGGCATCGACGCATCACTTACTTTGATTAAATTCAACGTTCAAAATAACGCGTCTGAACCATGGACACCTAAAATTACAAGCAAAGTAGTTTTGCCGGGTAAACGAATCAAATTCATTCAAGTTCTACATTGGCCATCTCATCTGGCAGAGAAAGAACCAATGTGCTGTGGACGTAGTCGGTTGGTAGTAGTTGTTACAACAGAAGCCGATGGTAGCCATGTACGAGGTTATGCTGTAAACCTAAATTCGACAGACATCCTTGAGCCAGGAAGTTCATTCATCCCTTTGTTCACATATGACATCCCAAGTGCTCGAATTACCGCTTTAGCTGCCACATGGACTTCACCTAGTTATTTGCATCATCCGGAAGTATGAAGACAAAATTACTCCTTAATGAGATTTATTTTGAATTACATCTACCTGTACATTTGTTATGTAAATAAAATCTCGTAATTTTCCAATTTCATCAGTATTAATTACATCCAATTCACTAAACATGTAGCCCGATAACGACGTAGATCGCCGAACTAATAGGTAAGTAAAGTACCCACGCAAAAGTCGACCCATTCTAACCACATATATGTTACAGCGAAAACTCCTGTTTTGTATGTTGTAATGATCCAAACACTTCGAACCCAAACAGATCTGTAGCTAAATCACTCCTTGTCTCTCAGGATTGGGTCACACGCAATCGTCTTGCTGACGATTCTCTAAGCTAAGTGCAATGTTTGCTGCAAAATCAAGGCTTTTTTATAGTCAAGCCCGAATAGATGTATTATGCGTTTATTCACCATACACAACACCTTCCTTTAATCATGAGCAAATGTCAAGAACCAGATGGAATATGCACGTGTTTCTGTTATTGTACCATGTTTCCCGCACCAGTTTACAATTGTTTTTAAAAAGCATCAAAGGCGTTTCTAACATATATTTGTATCGAGGATTAATAAATAAAGAATCCATTGTTGGCGTTATTCTGTGTTATAGTAAAACAAACTACTTTGGAAGATTTGTAGCTTTTCTAAATTCATACAAGGTAGACCCAACTTTCCATTCTGGGAACTAATTACCCTAAAAAAGAACTACAGATTCATACACTCAAAGAAATATAGCTATTATATTTAGCTATGTTGCGTTTCAAAATATCTGAACACGGACCCATGACACGCTCAAATCGTTTGCGATCAAGTTTCACGCAGCGTAGAGTACTTTGGGCAACAACAGTCGCTGCACGTGGTCGGTCAAGCAGTAAAGCAATCTCACCTATGTAAAATAAATTTGAAAAGTTAAATAATTAAGTGCGTAGAAAATTGGCAATATATTCTAACAGAAACTGCTAACAATACTGTATGAAATGTAGGCGTATTGTTGGGGAATATGCCAACGTATGTATCAAGGGAAATAGTAACTGACAGCGGTGTGTTACGATTTCTGAGCTAAAATCCCTCCGACTATTCAAATGTTGGATTCTAGAAATATACCACTTTCCAATATTTACATCACTTGGTTTGGGTAGGGGCTTATGTCACAAAATGGGCGAATTCAGAACTAGTTACAGAACGATTAGATGTAATATTATAGCGAGTGATGTAAACAAGATAGCACAAAGTGACGTGTCGGTTTGCTGGAATTTCTCTTTAGTGTGCAAACAGAAGAAAAAACTGAAAATGTTACTAAACAACAGCTTGACAGAAGTTGCAACCAGCTTGCTAACGTCAATCCTTTGGTGGCGGTCACTTCGTTGTCCACTGATGATTTTGGCAGTTCGAACTCACCGAAAGAGATTTTATGCTTTTTCGATTACATATAGTTTATCATATTAACTGGAATAACGTGTTCAAAGGTTTATTAGAACGAAGACTTTCTGGCTTCGTCAGAATACACAACACATGAATGGCTCGATAGTAAATAATAACTGGTTTATTTTACATTCAAGGTGATTAAATTATGAATGAGTATCAATACTTAACAAAGATAAAGGTGGACAGTAAAATATTGGCTGATCCGAAGTAGTTAGTCAACGATCAACTAACAAGACGTGCGCAGAAAAATTCCACAATATGTTAGGTACGTGTCAGTAACATACTTTAGATTGCACGAATCTAAGCCCTTTTTGACTTGCACCTTACCGTAATGGAAGACGCACTTTCTAAAATACCAGTCCATAAACTTTTATACATGTCAATGTTTACTCCACTTCGTCCCAGCATTTTTGAGTGCATTTACAATTTACTCTTCAAGATTCACAAATGAAAGGATAAAAACTATTGAAACTCGTTTATTTTTTTAAGCGTTGAAAGACCTGAAATGTTGACTTCCAAGATTATCTATTTACTTGAACACATAAATATTGGTACAGGGAGGGAACAAATATATATGCGCCACACAAAAATATGAGAATTTAAGAAGGGAAGAAAAAGTAAGGAACGTAGGGAATTGTAAAATAAAAAATAAGGACAATAATGGGGGGAGACGAAAAGGTACACTCAGAAGAAATCTTACAGTTAAGGAAGGATCAACAGAAGCCAGCCCTTTGCACCTTTCTTTCATACCACCAACTCTCCGCTTTTTCCAATCAGTTATAGCATCGGCAAATAATGCATGACGAGGAATTCTTTGAGATGACATTCGTAGAACATGTCCAAGCCACCGAAGTCGATGTTTCAAGATGGTGACACCAATTGCATTATCGTCTCTGTGCCCGAACACACGATGCCGAACCTGTGCATTACTAACATGGTTTTGCCACTGGATGCTAGCAATCCTTCGGAGACAGTGATGATCGAACACAAAGAGTCGTCTAACATCCTCAACTCGGAGAGGCCAGGTTTCACAAGCATAGAGCAAAACTGCTTTCACCGTCGCGTTGTAGATCCGACCTTTTACAGCCAGACTAACATCACGAAGGCGCCAAAGATGGCCCAGATTGGCATAAGCCGCTCTGGCTTTCACTATACGTGCACTGATCTCATCACTCACACCACCACCAGCACTTATGCAGCTACATAGATACACGAACTTCTCGACTACTTCAATCTGCTCACCATCCAGAGTGAGTACAGGATTAGAATCCTGCCAGTCTTGTAGAAGAACTTTGCACTTCGAAGGTGCAAAGCACATACCATACCTACGGACACTGATTGACAACTGATTAAGTGCGGATCGCATGGCTTGAACATTCTCGCACAGTAAGACAATATCATCCGCATACTCAAGGTCGAGAAGTCTTTCTCCAGGCAACAGATCTACACCACCATTACTTACATCCGTCAGAGCTGTTTCCAGAATGTCATCGATGGCAAAGTTGAAGAGGAATGGTGAAATTGGGCAACCCTGCCTAACTCCACTACTTGAATGGAATAGTGGAGAAAGGTGGTTGTATGCCCTCACTCTGCCTGAGGTGTTTGTGTATAGGGCTTTTAGGATGTTAATAAACTTCTCAGGCACACCCTTCTTCAATAGACAATCCCAGAGAACAGTTCTGTCCAACGAATCGAAGGCAGCCCTGATGTCAAGAAACACTACGATTGTTGGCCTTTGATAAGTATGGCGGTGTTCTATTATTATTATTTTAACACATAGGTATTGGTACAAGGAGGCACCAAATACATATGCGCCACACGAATCTCAATTGATTTGTGTGAGGGCTGTGATACTGCCCGGTTGCCCAAACCGAAGCAGGTATGAGAGAAGGTAAAGAATGGACTGCTTCTGAGCCATGTAATCATTTGTTACGATAGTTCTGCGGACACCAACCAGGAAAACTAAACTCAGGTCAGTTGTCAACATCTTTGTGAATTTAGTCAATCATAATCAACATAGAGCTTAACACATATATGACCTATTCTTCCATAGCAAGAGTAGTGTACAAATGTGTTCAGTCTCTGATTGGAGATATTATGCGGACTCCAACTACTTCATGCACTGATGTCACGTCTGAGTTTAGCCATGTTCTTTTATTTACTAGTTTTCTATTCGGAGTTAATCTCTTCACCTAAATTATATCGTATATTTTGCATTAGATTAGTCAATTACACCAAACTTATTTTCGAATACATACCTGCACAGTCTTGCATGACAATATTGTAGAGTTAATCCGCCTAATTCACTTACAGCTGATGAATTCAACAAATGACTACTTTTCATTGTTGATGATGATGTCACTGGTAAACCAAGGAATGTCTGCAAATTAATTGGTTTTTCACGTGGATAAGAAAACCTTGTTGTTACCAAACATGTTACGCCTAAATGATCAGCTATTTCATTTTGACATAACAATGGTGGATTAACTGATTCATTTTGGGTTATTCGCGTATTTTGTGAACATCCACACCACCATTACTTAAATCCGTCAGAGCTGTTTCCAGAATGTCATCGATGGCAAAGTTGAAGAGGAATGGTGAGATTGGGCAACCCTGCCTAACTCCACTGCTCGAATGGAACAATGGAGAAAGGTGGTTGTATGCCCTCACTCTGCCTGAGGTGTTTGTGTATAGGGCTTTTAGGATGTTAATAAACTTCTCAGGCACACCCTTCTTCAATAGACAATCCCAGAGAACAGTTCTGTCCAACGAATCGAAGGCAGCCCTGATGTCAAGAAACACTACAATTGTTGGCCTTTGATAAGTATGGCAGTGTTCTAACACTTGGCGGAGGGTGAAGATATGATCAATACATCCTCGACCAGAATGAAACCCAGCCTGCTCCTCGCGAGTCAATCCTTCTCGGGTTCTGAACAACCTACGAAGTATAACGGAAGCCATGACGTTGGTACACTCTCTAGCTCCCAGACCTTTGCAAACAACGTCGTCAGTTCCTTAGTCAGAAAGTTACCACCATCTTTAAAAAGAGCCGGAGGTAAGTCATCTGGGCCCGGTGATTTGTAGCGCTTCAAGAGCTGGAGTTCCTTGCGGGCTTCCGCCTCATTTGGTGGATCAGTCGTCACCGGCCATGGAGAGCAGTACAGTCTGACCGACGTTGCCGGAGCAGCAGGCCAGTTGAAGTGCCCTTCAAAGAATTCTGCCCATGGTCAAAGACGTCAATGGATGTTAGTGATTGGCGTTCCGTCATCCTCGCAGATTGTTTCGCTCACACCAGACTTCTTGCTGCCAGTGGCTCGGATGAGTTGGAAGAGCTTCCGGTAATTACCAGATGCAGCTGCTGCTTCCAGCTCATTAGCACACTCCGACCATCAGGCTTCTCGATCCTTACGCAAGCTTTGCCCGATTTCATCACGTAACATCCTTCTTCTGTGGTCAAACTCACGGTCACCCGGAGTAGACCGACGGGCTTCAATCAGTTGTAAGGAACCAGAAGAAACCCAGTGCTTGTAAGCGGGACGTTTCGCGAACCCACAACAGACTGTACCCGCCATTTTCATGGAGTCATGCAACTGCAACCAATACTCATCTATACTTTTCGGTGGAATGGTAGCTAGCCTAGAAGCTAGCTCGGTTCTGTACTTACTAGTAACAGAAGTTGCAACCAGCTTGCTAACGTCAATCCTTTGGTGGCGGTCACTTCGTTGTCCACTGAAAAAGTAAGGCAAGATTGGCGCAGACCAGAGCATGATCAGATTCCAGATAGGTACTCCGAAAGGAGCGGCAGTCTTGTACACAACCACGCCAGCGGTAGCTGATCGCAATGTGATCAATCTGAGTCCAGACTTGAGATGCAGAGGAAGGACGCCAGGTGGCACATCGGCGATGACTGTGCCGAAAGTTAGTGCTAGCCAGAAACAGGTTGTGGTCTGTGCATAGTCGCAGTAGACGTCCCCCGTTATCTGTCCTGCGACCAACAAGTCCCCATCGGCCACCTAAACGACTCTCTTCTGTGCCTAGACGCCCGACCTGAGCATTCAAGTCTCCAGCTAGTACTACAATATCTGTCAAACGCACTTTCTGGAGAAGAACAGTTAGCTGGTGGTAGAACTCGTCCTTGATTGCATCCGGGCTGCAATCTGTCGGGGCATAGGCGGAGATGACGAAAATAAATCGTTTCTCACGCCGATTTCTTCTCACTTTGATGGAACTTTCTAATCTAACAGCACATAACCGACTGTTAATGGGGATCGAAAAATAAGGATAGACAGAGTGGGAATGAGAGGGAATAAATGACGTGGAAAATAATAATAATAATAAGGTAATTTGTGTGACGATAAATCGCAGCGTGAACAGAGTTTTCAGAGATCATCATTTTCACTATATTTGTGTGACCAAACCGAAGCAGGTGGTTTCCTTAGGGAGCCACACCAGGAGCCTTCAACCTAAAGCTTCAACCCACAAGGCAGTGGAGCATCGTGAGGAGATGCAGTCCCATGGAAGCCGGTGACCAAGAAATCGGTTCATACGCCATTTGTTCCCGTAGGATACTGGAGCCCATGTGCACCATTGATTTGAGATCCGGTTATAGCGCCGGACATTCGCTTTTCGTCCTCTCATTTTCGTAAACAACACCCCCGCCACGAGAAGGCAATGAGTAAGACTTCCCTGGCAGAGGCTATATACGCGTGGCCGTGTGAGAGTATTTCGAGAGGGAGGGCGAACCCACCCCACTCTCGGCCATACCAGGGCATTTGGGGGCTAACTCCCATTCAATTAATATAAATTAAGTGTATGATTGCTTTTACATAATAGAGTAGACATGGTGATAGTCTAAAGACCTAAATAATTATTAATCTCGTTTAATGAATTCGAACTAGATTGTATTCTAATTTCGTACATTAAACTCTGCAGATTTATGGTAAAGAAAACTAAGTTGATAATGTCCAGGACTCTAGATTGCAATTAAAATAAATTATTTGTGGTGAGCACTAAGTTTTTAGTGTTTAATGAGGTGTATAATTCACTGTTAAGATATCAGCTTCACGAAGTGACAAAGCGTTAAATTGATACCCTATGTCAAGCTAACAACTTATACAAATTCTTCAGACAAATAAAACACTTACCAAAATAGTCTGATGGTCTTAATTTACCGACTTCAACTTGTTCACCGGATTCAGACGGCCTTTGCAAAACAGCAGCTGTACCCTAAGAAGCAATTAATCAAAAGTAGTAATTATAACACAGCTTCAGCTTATTTAAATAAAGCAAGAACAAATATTGATGCAGAATAGTATGAATTCATAATATTTCGAGGTTTCTCGTCAGCTGCTTACAAGCAAATATGTGATAAAAATTTTACATTGAGATTAAGGAAACAATTAAAGATGGGTAATGTAATAGTTGAATGGAGTTTATGCATTGTGTGATAATTATTTTAGAGGTAATAGAACAGTGATAAGATAGGTTACGTAATCATTGAATAGAATTAGAAAGGTTAACATGATATAAGAGGATTAGTGGGCGGAAATGTGTGAATGGAAAGTTGGTTTAAGAATTAGGTAATGGGGGTAATATAACCCAAAATGAATATTTTGAAAATAAAATAAGTGAATAAAATAACACAACAAAAAAGTTACCAGGGTAATGATAACTTTATTAACGTCTCTTTTTGAATACATAAATCCGGTTTAAGTTTTTTTATCGCAATCGCTTCCGCGAACCGGAGAGTAGTACTTGGTTGTCTATTGATAATTTTGAAAGCGTGTGAGATATCAATGGTATGCCCGGTGTCCAGTAAATGCCGAGCTATCGCACTGTTAAGAACCTTCGTCCCTCGCAGCCTAAAGTTCTTTGGAACATGCTCAGAAATACGAACATGTACTCTTCTCTCAGTGATAGGATGGATCGCGTGACGATTTGTCCTAAAGCTTAGATTTTTGGACGATTGTATATTCAGTTCCTCCATGAACAAACTTATCTTCAAACCAGAGTACAAACTTTCCTTATGCGAGTTGCTTCAATGCAAAAAGTGAATACAAATGGTCCAGAAAAATTACCAACCGCTTAGTGATTGATTCCGATGGTGACAAGTAACGTTACCATATAACTATGTATAGTCCTGTTTCAGAATTGTAACAAAACGGAAACTGTCTTTGACCAAGCAAAAATACGGTCCCTGGTCACATTAAAACTGTTGATTAATACTATCAGATCTTTAGACCAGTACAGTCTAGCTTCTGCCATTTTTAGATTCGAGAACACCTGGCTGTCTATACAAAAATGCTGAACCACATCACACCATAAGACAGAAAATCAATTATACGCGAACAAGCTAAAAGTGGATGTGAACAGGATGAGCTGGTGAAAAATGATTGGTAATAAATTAGAAACCATAGGCCGCATAATAACAGTTCCCGGGCCAGACGGAATATAAAAATAAGGTCATTCGGTCACTCAGTAATCATTCAATAATGACATATATATATATATATATATATATATATATATATATATATATATAATCCATAAAGCAACTCCACCTTTAGGTCTCCTAAAGCTATTGCTGGTCCCAAACCCGGGTAAAGCAGGAGGGTATGGCATGGGGTCGGCAACCACATCGCGTAGAAAACAACCTTGCTAACAAAATTGCCAAATAGATCAAACAAATTAAAACATTTAAGCTCTGTCCTCCGAGTTGAATGAAGAATTATGACGTCTCATGATGAAAACCGAGATACTTCGAGAGTTACATGGCTGATGTCCCTTCTAATAACCAGAGCTACAATTTTTATAGGTAAATGGTACATTCACACAATGTGGGAGACCGGAAGGACCAGTCAAATAGCAACGGAAATGAGGAGATACAACTTGACAGTACTCAGAATCAGTGAAACCCAAGCTGGACAGAAAAGATTAAATACAGTAAAGATGCAGCTGCACTCTGCTCACGAAGAGGAAAATGCTTCACACACTCAGAGAGTTGCTCTGATGCTGTTCAAAGAAGCATGTATTGCACTTAAAGGATGTGAATCTCACGAATCCAGGATCATCAATGCATCCTTCAAAACAAAGCTGAAGGGAATCACGAGAATGTTGTGCACCCAAAAATGATAGCAACGATGATAATAAGGATCAGTACTATGAGAGAATGTAATCATTCATACCGAAGTGCCCAAGAAAAGATCTCACGATCCTAATGGGAGACCTAAACGCCAAAGTCGGAATGGACTACAGCAAATATGAAGATATCATGGGATGACATGGATTGGGAGAGAGAAAAGAAAATGAGAAAAGATTTGCAAACCTATGTGCACTCAACAAATCGGATATAGGTGGCACAAAGTTCCCACACTAACGCATACACAGAGCTACATGAGTCTCACAGGAGAACCAGATAGATCATATTTGTATCATTGAAAAATTCAGAAAGACAATGGAAGACGTGAGAACCAGGAGAGAAACTGACATAGATTCAGATCACCACTTGGTTGTGGCTAAGATGAAACTGAAGCGAAAAAAGCATTGGATAGCTAGGGAAACAGTAGTACAAAGGTTCAATACAGCCTCCCTACGAGAAACTTACAAACACAACCAATTCAAAATAACTCTCAACAACAGGTTCTAAGCCTTGCAAGATCTATTGAGAGAAGAAGAAACTACGATGGAGGACAACTGGAAAGGGATCAAAGAAGCATTAACTTCAACGTGCCAGGACGTGCCGGGCCGCAAGAAGCACCATCATATGAAACGGATCTCTTTGGAAACCCTGGACAAGATTCAAGAAAGGACGTACAGGAAGACATCAATTAACAGACGATCAAGAACCGAGAAAGTCAAGGTACAAGCTGAATACACAGAGGCAAACAAGCAATTGAAGAGGAGCATTAAAGCAGACAGGCAGAAATACGTGGAAAAAGATGCAAGAGAAGGAAATATGAAACGACGAATAAACTAGCGGGGAAGCATAGTAAACCCGAGAGACCGGTCAAGGACAAAGAAGGCAAGACAATCACCGACATTCAAGAACAGAGGAAAAAATGGATAGAATACTTCCAGGAACTCTTGAATAGACCAGCTCCATTGAATCTACCGGACATCGAAGCAGCACATACAGACCTTCCTATAGATGTCACTCCACCAACGACTGAAGAAATCAGGATGGTCATCAGAAAATTCAAGGACGGGAAAGCAGCAGGACCTGACATTATACTACCTGAAGCTCTGAAGTCAGATATAGAGGTAACTGCAAGTATGCTTCACGCTTTATTCAGGAAAATTTGAGAGGAAGAATAAGTGCCGACAGGCTGGAAAGAACGCCTCATTAAAATACCAAAGAAAGGAGATCTGAGCAAATATGAGAACCACAGAAGCATAACATTACTGTCAGTACCAGGATAGGTTGTCAATAGTGTTGCTGAACCAGATGAAAGACGCAATAGATACCCAACTTCGAGCTCAACAGGCTGGATTCCGTAAGGACCGGTCGTGCACAGACCGAATCGCGACACTACGGATCATCGTTGAACAATCAATCGAATGGAACTCGTCACTACACATCAACTTCCTTGAATATGAGAAAGCATTGAACAGTGTGGATAGGAGAACATTATGGAAACTTCTTCGACACCATGGAGTACCTAAGATGATCTACCGGGAAACATCATCCGGATCTCATACGGTGAACTACAGTGCAAAGTCGTGCATGGAGGACAGACGTTTTCAAGTGAGGACTGGAGTCAAACAAGTGTGCTTACTCTTTCCCTTCCTCCTTCTCCCGGTGATCGACTGGATTATGAAGACCTAGACACCTGAGAGTAAACACGGAATACAATGGACATCTCGCAATCAATCAGAGTGTATAAACTTCGCAGATGACCTGGCCCTTCTATCCCATACACACGAACACATGCATGTGAAGACAACCAGTGTATCAGAAACCTCTGCATCAGTAGGCCTGAACATGTACAAGAGAAAAACCAAGATTCTCAAATACATCACAAGACACCAACCCAATCACACTTGATGGAGAAGCTCTGGAAGATGTGGGATCTTTCACGTACCTGGTCAGCAGCATCGTCGATGAACGTGGAGGATCCGATGCAGACGTAGAGGCGAGGATTGGCAAAGCGAGGGCGGCATTCCTACAACTGAAGAGCATGTAGAACTCAAAACAACTGTCAACCAATATCAAAGTCACGATCTTCAGTACGAACGTCAAGATAGTTCTACTGGATATCGAGGTGAAACACACAGACCTACCCGTGGATGATACCCCACTAACAGTAGAAAAATCTAGAAAATTCATCAGACGAGTCAGGAATGGTAAAGCAGAAGGATCAGACAGCACACCAACCGAGGTGCAAAGTCAAGTATGTAGTAAACTGTGAATGTATTTTTTGTTCTTTCCAGAAAGATTTGAGGTGAACAACACATACCAGACTGGAAAGAAGGACACTTCTTTTACATACCAAAGAAAGAACGCCCTAATATTTATGAGAAACACAGAGAGAACACGCTATCTGTATCAGTCACGGATTTCAAAAGTGTTACTAAACCGAATGAACATTCAATAGACACATAAATTACAGGTCAACAACCTGGCATTCCCAAAGATGGGTCATATACGGATCAAATCGTGACACGTCGGATCATAGATGAAAAGTCTATTGAATGGAACTCGTTGCTACAAACTTACTCTCTCTACATTTACAAGGGAAAAAGCAAGATTCTGAAGCATAACACACAAAGCACCGACCAAATCACACTTGATGGAGAAACTCTGGAAGAAGTGGAAACTTTCACATACCTGGGCAACATCATCGATAAACTAGGAGTATCTGATGCAGATGTAAAAGCACGATTTGACACTGCAAGGGTAATATTCCCACAACTGAAGAATATCTGGAACTCAAAACAACTATCACCCAATACCAAAAGAAGAGTCATCAACATTAACGTTAAAACAATTAAATTGTATAAATCTGGAAATTAGAGAACTCCCACCACCATCACCAAAAAAGTAAAAGTACTCAAACAACTGTCGATATGAAGTACATCAAACCCAACAGCCAGAGACCATCAGCGATAACCTACAGTGGAACAGAACTAACAAGCTACCAGTTGACAAGAATAGAAAAGACACTGAATGTGTACAGAACACACTTTGATTAAACTATCAAACTGTATCAAAAATGAAACACCAACCTGGAATCTCCAAGACAAAAGAAGAGGAAGATCTAACGACACAGAGCCTGGAGTCGGACGCAGAAATCAAGATTATGAATAGCACTTGGTAACAATTGAAAAGGAAAACCCAGTACAGATTTAATTGGAGATCTCTGGTTGACAACCTATGGTTTAAGAAGGATTAACAAACTTCAGTTAGTACATCTGTACGGTTTATGATATTATGAACACTTTATGGGATTTTGCAGAGCATATCGCTCAGTTTGGAATGATGTTAGTAGGTTTGCAGATTCCAAATATCTAATATTATGTTAGTAACAACTGGCAAAACATATTAGCCACAACAAGAAACAAGTATCTTGTCCTAAGAAGTAAAGAACTGTACCTCTGTAATAATAAAGAAGTCATCACCATGTTCACCTTGACGTACAACAACTTCACCATCTTCGAAACGGACTGGTTCTAGAGCATCTGCTACAGTTAATCGTTCCCATTTGTCAAGATTATCTATAATAAAATTCAAAGATACCATATATATATATATATATATATATATATATATATATATATATATATATATATATATATATATATATATATATATATATATATATATATATATAGTGGCAGAACTTCGATATAAACATTCGTAAAAAGATAAATACTAGAGTACAGGACGTTTGTGGAAATTGTTTAGTTAATAGCTAGCATCACGAATTGACTTTGTCTGAGGAACGAAAACCAGCGAACACCTACAATTATTTTGCTCTTGTATGTGACTCCTCATGAGTTTTACCCTATGACGTATCAGGCCTTTAAGTGAGCACGTTGATTTCAGACAACAGATATAGCATGCAATAGCAAAGATCTTTAATTTCGTTAAGTTCACGAGCATCCGTTGTAAATTAGGAGAAGATATGATGCACATGGGTTCTAGAGTCCGGTAGGAAGGTATTGCTTATGAAACTATTTCCGGTCACAGTCTAACATGGGACGAAATCCAACGTTTTTTCATTTACTCGTAGATTAAACCTTTAGGTCAAGGCCCTCTGAGTAATCTAAGGAAAGCCCCTGCTTTAGCTTTTATACATTGAGAGTATCCCACTTCACACAAACATTTGTGATGATCATCAATAAATATTCGATTTATGATTCGAAATCACTCTACCTGTTTTCGAAGTTGCATAGATACCCTCGAATTTATTTCATCGTGTCTTCATTTCGTTCTTTATCCGCTTCTTGTGTATGTCTTTAGTTTTCGACTCACTCATCGGCACCCGAACTAGTTATAGGGAGTGAAGTAGTTGAGCGTGTCGACCGCTTCACTTATCTGGGAAGTCTCATCAGCCCTTGTGGTCTGGTGTGTGACGAAATCTCAGCACGGATACAGAAGGCTCGACTAGCTTTTTCCAACTTGCGTCATTTGTGGCGTAGGCGAGATATCCGTCTATCAACCAAAGGACGAGTTTACTGCGCAGCAGTTGGTTCCGTTCTACTTTATGGCTGTGAAAATGACCGGTAAGTGTTCTCTCAAACTCTAATCTTCTGAATTCTCCATGTCCTTTATTTTCTTTCCAAATATATTCCACTGGACTATACTCCTTAAATAACATCATCAAACCTTAACGCTCCCTGTCACTACTTATATTTTCACTACTCTACCACTACGGGATTTAAATCGATAACTGAATCTCTGTGCTAATGTGGTATGGCAACTCGAACTGATGTACGTACGTACGAAGTTCCACGTTGTTTCTGACTGACTGACCATCCCTCGATTCGAACAGCTTGTTTCATGTGCATTTATCCGGCAACCTTGTGGCTTCTTTGTTCGGTTTTTATGACTTTGGTGTCACCCTAAATGCCGTATTAGAATCAGCACCTATCGATTGGATCTCCATTAACACCGGGTTATATACTGTTAGATTAGAAAGCTTCACTAAAATAAGAAATCGGTATGGAAAACTATATCTTTTAGTCATCTCCGCCTACACCCCGACGTATTGCAGTCCCGATGCTATCAAGGATCAGTTCTACCACAAGTTAAATGGTCTCAAGAAAGCCCATTCGACAGATATTGTAGTACTAGCCTGAGATTTGAATGCAGAATCCAGACTTCTAGACACAGAGGAGAGTTGTTTGGTTGGCTAATGTGGACTCGGTCTCAGGTCAGATAATGCAAACTGTCCCCTACAGCTTTGCACAGACCACAACCTGCTTCTGATCAAGATCAGCTTTCAGTACAGTCATCCCCATTGTGCCACCTGGTGCCATCGCTCTGCAACCCAAGTCTAGACTCAGACCGATCACATCATGACCAGCCGCTGTTGGAGTGGTTGCTTTATACCAATGTTTCTATTAACTAATTCTTTCTTTCTGTATCATATCCTTATACACAATCTTCCCTTTATATGTTATTACCATTGAAGTAACTACTTCTATGAATTCGGTGTTCATTTTGTTATGCTAATGAGGTGTGACAACTTAGACCGATGCATATATATGCCTGGTCCTATGTTGTAGTTGACTGACTGGAGTGGCTATGTACAAGGCTGGCGCCCCATTTTGAGTACTTATCTGAATTATGGACGTTTCAGTGGCCGATAAATTCATTGTCCTAGAAGAGTTAATGTAAGCAAATTTACTGCAACTCCAATCGTAAAAAATATCAAACCTAACTAGATTCAAGTCTAGCTGTCAACCCACTGAAAAGTGTAGATGAGCACTGGCTGCATTTACATGATGCCATGAAAATGGCAAGTAAAGTCTCTTGTGGCTACGCAAAACTTCCCATGCATCGGCACTAGGTTTCTATAGGTTCCCTACAACTCATTGAGGCACGTCAGTCTACTTCAGCTAACTGCAAGTTCGACGATAAACGTAGATTCTTACGTAGTGAAATTGTGCAAAGTTTATGTAGGGACCGTGACGCCCGGTGATCTGGGTGCTCCAACGAGTTGGAAACAGCAGATCGATCCGGAAGCTGTTCCAACCCACCCGATGCACTGGTAACGAGAAGTCTGTTGTGAATGAAATAATCTGTGAAGCCGGTGATACTTCTGTTAGTAATATTCAACAGTATTTTGGACAGTGGACAGGGTTTTTCGAGAAATAATTAGGCTGGTCTGTCGCCCCAGCAGCATCGCTTAGATATTTGTCCTTCCTAGTCAGTGACGATTGTCCTCCCAACGAGGTGGATGTCTCCAAGGGTCTCCCGCTTTTGAACCGCCATAGGCCATCAGGGCCAAAGGATCTATCCCAGACTCTTTATGAGGATAGTGGTGAACTCCTGACTGAGTTGCTTAAAAATATATGGGAAACAGATTATACTCCTTGCTCCTTTTTTTACCCTACTATGTTATGTGTCTGTGTGGCGTACTCTATTTATATGCCCAGTCGTATTACAACTCTCGTTTGTAATTAAACACATAAAGTAACTGGAGCGTGATCTAACTTTCTACCTATAAAATGGACATAAGTGTGCAGATCATGCATACATTGTGATATAATGTCTGCGTAAATACGTTTATTTGCTTATATTTATATATGCATGTTAAAGTCTTGCTTATTCGACCCAATTACTTCGTTTGCCCAGTATTTTTCGGACACTAGTCTACTTAATTGGTTCTCGTATCAGAACACGGCTTGTACAGGAACGTGATTATGTTCTAAAGCAAAACAACAAGTTAAATAAGTTGATGTTACAATAAGAATTTATGTCTACGATTTTTACACAGGAAGATTCTAGAGTCTTTGCCACTCATCCACTAGCTCTGGTGGGCCCACTTTGTCCAATTTAAGTTAAAGACTTTATAAATTGGAAAAAACTACCCACCCAACTTATCTTTTACTTTGCAACTTTTTATTCGATTGACTGTGTAAAATCGGGCTTTACATTTATTTAGTGATATATTTGATGCCATGTTCCCTGTACATCGTAATTCAGGCGATGTGATTATTCAACAAGGAGATGAAGGTGATAATTTCTACATAATCGACCAGGGTGAGGTTGATGTAAGTTAAATATACTAATTTATGAAGTTATATTTTTTATCCACCTATACGGTTTCTCAGTTAACGTATATCATTTGTTAAGAGTTGCACGTTCATTACACTTTGTTAATAAGGAGTAGTGATAACCAAATGCGAGTAATCCATGTATGGAAAATGTTTTACTGCAATATTGTAATCACTATCGACTTTCTTAGATTCAAGTAGTCAATGATTTGCCTTGTATAGTTATGTGAAATGCAACATATCGTAAAAGTGACAAATTTAGTAATTAAGCAGATCAAAACTTAAATATAGTTAACTCATTTCTGTAGGACCAGGAGATAATATCAAGCTGATAGTATGTTAACCCATTTGGGTCTGATATCAAGGGATTTGGAGCGTCTTAGTTAACTGATACATGAGGGTCGGATAACTTTTACATGATCCTATCATTTTAGGATTATATATATTAGAATGTTTGTAATAAAAGTCACGAAAGCTTCGTACATATCAGTTCATCGTGAAAATGGAGCACTTTGAATATTGTATATCATTCCTTATTTTCGACCACATTTGCCTTAAAATTTGAATTGTAGTAACTTATACAGTCAACTTGTATTCACTAGAATGATTTTTTGTCAGTGCTTACAAGTAGGCTTTTTGTATGATTGTGTGAATCCACTTCCGTAGGGGTAATTTTGAATAAATTCCATGAAAATAAAGAATTTCGCGCAATGATCCAACGATGATTGACAGCCTCATCAGTCTTGGTGGTTTGTTGTCTGACAACATATTGACACAGATTCAGAAAAAACCTCTCGTACTGTACTAACTTGAATCACTTATGGAGTAGGTATGATATCCGTCTACCAGCTAAAGCACAAGAATACTTTTAGGTAGTGCGTTTTATTTTCCTTGATGACTGTGAAAAATGGTCTTTAAGATTATAGGTATTTGTAAATTATCACTATTTTGTCGTAGATGCCTTTGGAACATTTCTCATCAGTGTTCGGACCTTCAAGAGGGCGATGCTGAGATACGACACGGTATTACGTAAATACCACAAGTCGGTTGATGAAGTATGAATCTCTGTCGACTGATTCATTTGGCATATTTATCACATATATGCAGCCTTCACCTACCTGGATGCACTGATTGGCGGTGTTATTATTTATTATTTATTTATTTGAACACATAAATATTGGTACAGGGGGGCACCAAATATATATGCGCCACACAAAACAATGATAATTTTAAGAGAAGGAGAAAAGAGAAAAAAAATGTAATGAACGTGGGGAGTTATAAAAAAAAAAGAGAGAGAGAACAATGGTGGGGGAAACGGAAAGGTACAATCAGAAGAGATCTTTCAGTTAAGGAAGATACAACCACTTTTTATGAAGAAAGTAATAGAAGGTTACAGCACGATCGCTACTGGCTTCTATTCTGAACCATATCTGATAACTTCTCTAGCCACTGCGTTACACCGTCTCTCGGACCCCAACCAGGGAGTCGTGAAGGACCAACAGAAGCTAGCCCTTTGCAGCTTTCTTTCATACCACGACATCATGTCATATACTGACCACCTCTCCGCTTTAGTAACTTATACAGTCAACTTGTATTCACTAGAATAATTTGTTGACAGTGCTTACAAGTAGGCTTTTTGTATGATTGTGTGAATCCACTTCCGTAGGGGTAATTTTGAATAAATTCCATGAAAATAAAGAATTTCGCGCAATGATCCAACGATGATTGACAGCCTCATCAGTCTTGGTGGTTTGTTGTCTGACAACATATTGACACAGATTCTGATAAATCCTCTCGGCCTTTACTAGCTTTAATCTCTTATATAGTTACTTTTATCAACACGTTTACAGCAATCATCCCAAAGTTTTTCTGATTTTCGATAACCTAAATTTTAGAAGTGATACAGACAATGTGCTTCCTGAGCACGAGATTTTGAGCGTATGATTATGATGAATATTTTATCGACCCAGAATCACCCATCTTAATATTTCACAATATTAAAAAAGAATGTTTCATATAAGGATTATTGTGGATACGTTTCACATGCAAAATCAAAGTAATAAATAATAAAAATCTCAGAAAAGTAGTAAAAAACATACCTAAAATAGGTACACGACATAAGAATTCCTGATACACTTTTCGACGACGAATAGTACTCCCCATCAATATTCTTCTATAAGAATCTCGATCAATACCCCATAATTTAACTTCCGTTTTCGCTCTAACCGTAGCTGCTCTAGGCGTACCGTAAATGAGAGCTAATTCACCGAAACTACCTCCTTCCCCGATTGTACTACTATACTCATTATTGAGGAAGATCTATTTAAGAGAAATGATTACAAAATAAATTTCAGAAATACAAATAATACCAGAAAAAAAAGTAAGTATAATATCCTCATAAATCTAAAAACGAACGTAAAGCCAAACACTAGAACACAACTTTGGATTGAAATACATTAAATCAACGCTATTCTTTATAAGTAAAATGTCCTTTATGATCTGACTTGAATATGGCAGTAGACATAGTCGTATTCACCACTAACGAGTGAAGTTTTATATACAGTTGATGTAATTACATCAAAATCTAATGAATCTTGAAAAAATAAAAGGGGTGTAAAGCTAACCAAATTACTAAACTATAAACACACCGTAACAGTAAGGGGAAATAAACAGGGACGAAAACTCTACTAAGGTCAACAAAAAGATTTAGTGAAGAGCACACAGAAGCTGACATTTAATTTTCTACTCATAGAGGTATTACATATTTATGACTGCACCCGAATTCCCTCCTACGGCCGAGGGTGAGGACAGTTAGCTCTCATCGAAATGCTCTCACATGGCCGCGCGTATACAGCCACCGCCAGGGAAGCCTTACTAACTGCCTTCTCGCAGCCGGGGTGTTGTTTACGAAATTGAGAGGACTTAAAGCGAATGTCCGGCGCTTTAACCGGGTTGGTGGACACGAAGGACCCCCTGAGAAAACCACTTACTTCGGTCTGGATACCCGAGTAGTATCACAGCCCATACACAAATCAAGCAACTTGTGTGGTGCACATGTATTCGGTGCTTCTTTGTACCAATATTTATGAGTTCAAATGTTCTATGGTGGTCTAGATTCAATTGAATCATGACCTCAAGCACTAAAATTACTATAATATCCAGAAAAAGCCCTTCTGAAATAAATATATCACTATTTGTATTATTAGCGATCTATCCAATGATCAGTTTATTTGAAGTTATAAAGTCAAACACCAGTAATGGTACTTACAAACTTACTTATGTTACTTGAAAGTGAAATGCTATGCCTGCAATATGGCACACGAGAATCTCTTTACATACCATTAACGATCTATCAACCTAAAATTGATTATGCCTTTCTAGGCATTTTAATTTTTGTAAAATAAGTGTTTCATTCCGTTAAAATAAGACTACTATTTTTACAGCTATTTTTATTTGAGAAGTTATAAAAGTGTTATCCCTTTGAATGACTTATTCAACAACTTTCGATCCTTTTTTATAGTTCAACAAATGATTCTGTTTTTTTTTGTCATATGACAAGTGTGGGAAGAACTACCTGGTTTTTTGGGTTACGTTAAACCATATTCATAGGTATCCTAATTTTTATAATGACCCGTTCTGCGCAATCGAAGTGAACAATATATTAGTTGAGGACTTGTTTCTTCATCATGATAGTAATTAGTATTCAAATTTTGCGAGTGAACATCAGCAGATTAAACGAAGTGATTTGTGTGTATATGTATCAAATACTTTAAAATTTAAGTTGCATGTGAGTGTTAATGTCCAGTTATTAACTCTGACAGAAGCAACTTTATAATTTTCAGTTCATAATTCAAAACGGTGAAATAACTTGGTCATGTCTGGAGTTAAAATATTACTAACACGTCAGTATTTTGGAAATATAATGCAATAACATATGGTGAAGTAGAAAACTACAGCCGGTTAATGATTAACAACATAGAATATAGGAAATAAGTGTACCACTTCAGGTTGTCATACTATATTAACATGGCAAGATGAAATTACCAAGACAAATATCGGAGTAATGGAAGTAGTAACGATATCGGTGATAGTAGGAAAGACTAATGATAGACAATATGATTCAAGAATAAGGGATAGATTTGCAGAATGGTAAATACAAGATCAAAACTCAAAATCTAGGGAACGATAAATAGTATATCTATGTGAACTATTCCAACAGATTATGAGTAATGTCACCCAGTCTCTATTCATTGATTACAATAGTTGGGAAAATATCAACTTGATGATCTGAAGCAATCAGCATGGGTAAATACAATATATAATGACTTCATCAACCGGTCGCCCGTCTTAGTTTGTTCGCTCCTAGTTTTCTTCTACACCGTCTTAATATTGATGTGTGTTGTCTATCCGAGACCCGTATTCAAGACTCTGGTGAAGTACTACAAGTTCGCTCTCCATCTGTCGCTTCAAAAAGCTTGTTTTATGTGCGTTTATCCTAGGACCCAGTGGCATCTTCGTCTGGTCTTGCTGGCGTTGGTGTCGCACTAAGCGCAAGAGCTGAGGCAGCACTAGTCGACTGGGACCCCATTAACAGTCGGTTATGTGCTGTTAGATTAGAAAGTTCCATCAAAGTGAGAAGAAATCGGCGTGAGAAACGATTTATTTTCGTCATCTCCGCCTATGCCCCGACAGATTGCAGCCCGGATGCAATCAAGGACGAGTTCTACCACCAGCTAACTGTTCTTCTCCAGAAAGTGCGTTTGACAGATATTGTAGTACTAGCTGGAGACTTGAATGCTCAGGTCGGGCGTCTAGGCACAGAAGAGAGTCGTTTAGGTGGCCGATGGGGACTTGTTGGTCGCAGGACAGATAACGGGGGACGTCTACTGCGACTATGCACAGACCACAACCTGTTTCTGGCTAGCACTAACTTTCGGCACAGTCATCGCCGATGTGCCACCTGGCGTCCTTCCTCTGCATCTCAAGTCTGGACTCAGATTGATCACATTGCGATCAGCTACCGCTGGCGTGGTTGTGTACAAGACTGCCGCTCCTTTCGGAGTACCTATCTGGAATCTGATCATGCTCTGGTCTGAGCCAATCTTGCCTTACTTTTTCAGTGGACAACGAAGTGACCGCCACCAAAGGATTGACGTTAGCAAGTTGGTTGCAACTTCTGTTGCCAGTAAGTACCGAACCGAACTAGCTTCTAGGCTAGCTACCATTCCACCGAAAAGTATAGATGAACATTGATTGCAATTGCATGACGCCATGAAAATGGCGGGTACAGTCTGTTGTGGGTTCGCGAAACGTCCCGCTTACAAGCACTGGGTTTCTTCTGGTTCCTTACAACTGATTGAAGCCCGTCGGTCTACTCCGGGTGACCGTGAGTTTGACCACAGACGAAGGATGTTACGTGATGAAATCGGGCAAAGCTTGCGTAAGGACCGAGAAGCCTGGTGGTCGGAGCGAGCCAGTGAGTTGGAAGCAGCAGCTGCATCTGGTAATTACCGGAAGCTCTTCCAACTCATCCGAGCCACTGGCAGCAAGAAGTCTGGTGTGAGCGAAACAATCTGCGAGGATGACGGAACGCCAATCACTAACATCCATTGACGTCTTTGACCATGGGCAGAATTCTTTGAAGGGCACTTCAACTGGCCTGCTGCTCCGGCAACGTCGGTCAGACTGTACTGCTCTCCATGGCCGGTGACGACTGATCCACCAAATGAGGCGGAAGCCCGCAAGGAACTCCAGCTCTTGAAGCGCTACAAATCACCGGGCCCAGATGACTTACCTCCGGCTCTTTTTAAAGATGGTGGTGACTTTCTGACTAAGGGACTGACGACGTTGTTTACAAAGGTCTGGGAACTAGAGAGTGTACCAACGTCATGGAATGAGTCGATAGTTGTTCCTATCTTTAAAAAGGGTTCACGTCGTTCCTGTAACAACTATCGGGGGATAAGTCTACTTCCGATTGCGTCCAAGCTATTGGCTTCCGTTATACTTCGTAGGTTGTTCAAAACCCGAGAAGGATTGACTCGCGAGTAGCAGGCTGGGTTTCGTTCCGGTCGAGGATGTATTGATCATATCTTCACCCTCCGCCAAGTGTAAGAACACCGCCATACTTATCAAAGGCCAACAATCGTAGTGTTTCTTGACATCAGGGCTGCCTTCGATTCGTTGGACAGAACTGTTCTCTGGGATTGTCTATTGAAGAAGGGTGTGCCTGAGAAGTTTATTAACATCCTAAAAGCCCTATACACAAACACCTCAGACAGAGTGAGGGCATACAACCACCTTTCTCCACTATTCCATTCAAGTAGTGGAGTTAGGCAGGGTTGCCCAATTTCACCATTCCTCTTCAACTTTGCCATCGATGACATTCTGGAAACAGCTCTGACGGATGTAAGTAATGGTGGTGTAGATCTGTTGCCTGGAGAAAGACTTCTCGACCTTGAGTATGCGGATGATATTGTCTTACTGTGCGAGAATGTTCAAGCCATGCGATCCGCACTTAATCAGTTGTCAATCAGTGTCCGTAGGTATGGTATGTGCTTTGCACCTTCGAAGTGCAAAGTTCTTCTACAAGACTGGCAGGATTCTAATCCTGTACACACTCTGGACGGTGAGCAGATTGAAGTAGTCGAGAAGTTCGTGTATCTATGTAGCTGCATAAGTGCTGGTGTTGGCGTGAGTGATGAGATCAATGCACGTATAGTGAAAGCCAGAGCGGCTTATGCCAATCTGGGCCATCTTTGGCGCCTTCGTGATGTTAGTCTGGCTGTAAAAGGTCGGATCTACAACGTGACGGTGAGAGCAGTTTTGCTCTATGCTTGTGAAACCTGGCCTCTCCGAGTTGAGGATGTTAGACGACTCTCTGTGTTCGATCATCGTTGTCTCCGAAGGATTGCTGGCATCCAGTGGCAACACCATGTTAGTAATGCACAGGTTCGGTATCGAGTGTTCGGGCACAGAGACGATAATGAAATTGGTGTCACCATCTTGAAACATCGACTTCGGTGACTTGGACATGTTCTACGAATGTCGTCCCAGAGAATTCCACGTCGTGCATTATTTGCCGACGCTGGGACTGGTTGGAGAAAGCGGAGAGGTGGTCAGTATATGACATGGTGTCGTGGTATGAAAGAAAGCTGCAAAGGGCTAGCTTCTGTTGGTCCTTCACGACTCCCTGGTTGGGGTCCGAGAGACGGTGTAACGCAGTGGCTAGAGAAGTTATCAGATATGGTTCAGAATAGAAGCCAGTAGCGATCGTGCTGTAACCTTCTATTACTTTCTTCATAAAAAGTGGTTGTATCTTCCTTAACTGAAAGATCTCTTCTGATTGTACCTTTCCGTTTCCCCCACCATTGTTCTCTCTCTCTTTTTTTTTTTATAACTCCCCACGTTCATTACATTTTTTTTCTCTTTTCTCCTTCTCTTAAAATTATCATTGTTTTGTGTGGCGCATATATATTTGGTGCCCCCCTGTACCAATATTTATGTGTTCAAATAAATAAATAATAAATAATAACACCGCCAATCAGTGCATCCAGGTAGGTGAAGGCTGCATATATGTGATAAATATGCCAAATGAATCAGTCGACAGAGATTCATACTTCATCAACCGACTTGTGGTATTTACGTAATACCGTGTCGTATCTCAGCATCGCCCTCTTGAAGGTCCGAACACTGATGAGAAATGTTCCAAAGGCATCTACGACAAAATAGTGATAATTTACAAATACCTATAATCTTAAAGACCATTTTTCACAGTCATCAAGGAAAATAAAACGCACTACCTAAAAGTATTCTTGTGCTTTAGCTGGTAGACGGATATCATACCTACTCCATAAGTGATTCAAGTTAGTACAGTACGAGAGGTTTTTTCTGAATCTGTGTCAATATGTTGTCAGACAACAAACCACCAAGACTGATGAGGCTGTCAATCATCGTTGGATCATTGCGCGAAATTCTTTATTTTCATGGAATTTATTCAAAATTACCCCTACGGAAGTGGATTCACACAATCATACAAAAAGCCTACTTGTAAGCACTGACAAAAAATCATTCTAGTGAATACAAGTTGACTGTATAAGTTACTACAATTCAAATTTTAAGGCAAATGTGGTCGAAAATAAGGAATGATATACAATATTCAAAGTGCTCCATTTTCACGATGAACTGATATGTACGAAGCTTTCGTGACTTTTATTACAAACATTCTAATATATATAATCCTAAAATGATAGGATCATGTAAAAGTTATCCGACCCTCATGTATCAGTTAACTAAGACGCTCCAAATCCCTTGATATCAGACCCAAATGGGTTAACATACTATCAGCTTGATATTATCTCCTGGTCCTACAGAAATGAGTTAACTATATTTAAGTTTTGATCTGCTTAATTACTAAATTTGTCACTTTTACGATATGTTGCATTTCACATAACTATACAAGGCAAATCATTGACTACTTGAATCTAAGAAAGTCGATAGTGATTACAATATTGCAGTAAAACATTTTCCATACATGGATTACTCGCATTTGGTTATCACTACTCCTTATTAACAAAGTGTAATGAACGTGCAACTCTTAACAAATGATATACGTTAACTGAGAAACCGTATAGGTGGATAAAAAATATAACTTCATAAATTAGTATATTTAACTTACATCAACCTCACCCTGGTCGATTATGTAGAAATTATCACCTTCATCTCCTTGTTGAATAATCACATCGCCTGAATTACGATGTACAGGGAACATGGCATCAAATATATCACTAAATAAATGTAAAGCCAGATTTTACACAGTCAATCGAATAAAAAGTTGCAAAGTAAAAGATAAGTTGGGTGGGTAGTTTTTTCCAATTTATAAAGTCTTTAACTTAAATTGGACAAAGTGGGCCCACCAGAGCTAGTGGATGAGTGGCAAAGACTCTAGAATCTTCCTGTGTAAAAATCGTAGACATAAATTCTTATTGTAACATCAACTTATTTAACCTGTTGTTTTGCTTTAGAACATAATCACGTTCCTGTACAAGCCGTGTTCTGATACGAGAACCAATTAAGTAGACTAGTGTCCGAAAAATACTGGGCAAACGAAGTAATTGGGTCGAATAAGCAAGACTTTAACATGCATATATAAATATAAGCAAATAAACGTATTTACGCAGACATTATATCACAATGTATGCATGATCTGCACACTTATGTCCATTTTATAGGTAGAAAGTTAGATCACGCTCCAGTTACTTTATGTGTTTAATTACAAACGAGAGTTGTAATACGACTGGGCATATAAATAGAGTACGCCACACAGACACATAACATAGTAGGGTAAAAAAAGGAGCAAGGAGTATAATCTGTTTCCCATATATTTTTAAGCAACTCAGTCAGGAGTTCACCACTATCCTCATAAAGAGTCTGGGATAGATCCTTTGGCCCTGATGGCCTATGGCGGTTCAAAAGCGGGAGACCCTTGGAGACATCCACCTCGTTGGGAGGACAATCGTCACTGACTAGGAAGGACAAATATCTAAGCGATGCTGCTGGGGCGACAGACCAGCCTAATTATTTCTCGAAAAACCCTGTCCACTGTCCAAAATACTGTTGAATATTACTAACAGAAGTATCACCGGCTTCACAGATTATTTCATTCACAACAGACTTCTCGTTACCAGTGCATCGGGTGGGTTGGAACAGCTTCCGGATCGATCTGCTGTTTCCAACTCGTTGGAGCACCCAGATCACCGGGCGTCACGGTCCCTACATAAACTTTGCACAATTTCACTACGTACGAATCTACGTTTATCGGCGGTCGACACGCTCAAATACTTCACTCCCTATAACTAGTTCGGGTGCCGATGAGTGAGTCGAAAACTAAAGACATACACAAGAAGCGGATAAAGAACGAAATGAAGACACGATGAAATAAATTCGAGGGTATCTATGCAACTTCGAAAACAGGTAGAGTGATTTCGAATCATAAATCGAATATTTATTGATGATCATCACAAATGTTTGTGTGAAGTGGGATACTCTCAATGTATAAAAGCTAAAGCAGGGGCTTTCCTTAGATTACTCAGAGGGCCTTGTGATGTATTTGAGAATCTTGGTTTTTCTCTTGTACATGTTCAGGCCTACTGATGCAGAGGTTTCTGATACACTGGTTGTCTTCACATGCATGTGTTCGTGTGTATGGGATAGAAGGGCCAGGTCATCTGCGAAGTTTATACACTCTGATTGATTGCGAGATGTCCATTGTATTCCGTGTTTACTCTCAGGTGTCTAGGTCTTCATAATCCAGTCGATCACCGGGAGAAGGAGGAAGGGAAAGAGTAAGCACACTTGTTTGACTCCAGTCCTCACTTGAAAACGTCTGTCCTCTATGCACGACTTTGCACTGTAGTTCACCGTATGAGATCCGGATGATGTTTCCCGGTAGATCATCTTAGGTACTCCATGGTGTCGAAGAAGTTTCCATAATGTTCTCCTATCCACACTGTTCAATGCTTTCTCATATTCAAGGAAGTTGATGTGTAGTGACGAGTTCCATTCGATTGATTGTTCAACGATGATCCGTAGTGTCGCGATTCGGTCTGTGCACGACCGGTCCTTACGGAATCCAGCCTGTTGAGCTCGAAGTTGGGTATCTATTGCGTCTTTCATCTGGTTCAGCAACACTATTGACAACCTATCCTGGTACTGACAGTAATGTTATGCTTCTGTGGTTCTCATATTTGCTCAGATCTCCTTTCTTTGGTATTTTAATGAGGCGTTCTTTCCAGCCTGTCGGCACTTATTCTTCCTCTCAAATTTTCCTGAATAAAGCGTGAAGCATACTTGCAGTTACCTCTATATCTGACTTCAGAGCTTCAGGTAGTATAATGTCAGGTCCTGCTGCTTTCCCGTCCTTGAATTTTCTGATGACCATCCTGATTTCTTCAGTCGTTGGTGGAGTGACATCTATAGGAAGGTTTGTATGTGCTGCTTCGATGTCCGGTAGATTCAATGGAGCTGGTCTATTCAAGAGTTCCTGGAAGTATTCTATCCATTTTTTCCTCTGTTCTTGAATGTCGGTGATTGTCTTGCCTTCTTTGTCCTTGACCGGTCTCTCGGGTTTACTATGCTTCCCCGCTAGTTTATTCGTCGTTTCATATTTCCTTCTCTTGCATCTTTTTCCACGTATTTCTGCCTGTCTGCTTTATGTCCCAGTAAGCATAATGAATAGTAACTTTTGGGATCCATTTATGGACCAATAATATGCGTATATTTTTATCGTATGATTGTTAAATAACTAAATCGTTCATATTCATATCCCTCTTATTATGAGCTTTATTTTGACCTACGAACTAATACTCTACGATTTACTATTCTTGAATTATGCTCTGTTTATTAATCACTACCTCTCCCATTCACAGCCACATTTGGCTAATTCTTGTACAAATGTTGTTTCCTATTTTATGGTACGATGTGGTCTGCCTGGTTGGTATATATACCCATTATGCTTGAAATAAATGATTCATATTGCAGAGGCTGGGATTAGTGTCCTGGAATTAACTGGCTGGGTTAGGCGGGAAGCAGGACAAATTAGGACTCTAGACTGCTCATACGGGTTTACGCATCATTGATCCGATCGATAAGTCGCTGCTCTCTAGTTGGGGGTCACAAGCTATAAGATTCGAAGAAAACAATGACTAAGCTTTCTTTTTTATTTTAATATCATTTTAACACAAATATATTGGTACAAAGAGGCAACAAATACATATGCGCCGCACAGATCTCATTTGATATTTGAGTACTGTGATACTCCCCGAATGGCCAAACCAAAGCAGGTGGTTTTCATAGGGGGCTACACCCCGAGCCTTCAACCTAAAGGTCTGACCCACAAGGCAGTGGAGCACCATGAGGAGATGCAGTCCCATGGTAGCCGGTGACCAACAATTGGTTTATACGCCATTTGTTCCTTCAGGATACTGGAGCACATGTGCACCATTAGTTTGGGATCCATTTAAAGCGCAGGACATTCGCTTTTCGTCTTCTCGATTTCGTGAACAATACCCCCACTACGAGAAGGCAGTAAGAAGGGCTTCCCTGGCAGAGGCTGTATACGTGTGGCCGTTTGAGGGTATTTCGAGAGGGAGGGCCCTTCCCACTCTCGGCCGTACCAGGGCATTTGGGAGAGAGAGAGTCGTCTAACATCCTCAACTCGGAGAGGCCAGGTTTCACAAGCATAGAGCAAAACTGCTCTCACCGTCACGTTGTAGATCCGACCTTTTACAGCCAGACTAACATCACGAAGGCGCCAAAGATGGCCCAGATTGGCATAAGCCGCTCTGGCTTTCACTATACGTGCATTGATCTCATCACTCACGCCAACACCAGCACTTATGCAGCTACATAGATACACGAACTTCTCGACTACTTCAATCTGCTCACCGTCCAGAGTGTGTACAGGATTAGAATCCTGCCAGTCTTGTAGAAGAACTTTGCACTTCGAAGGTGCAAAGCACATACCATACCTACGGACACTGATTGCCAACTGATTAAGTGCGGATTGCATGGCTTGGGCATTCTCGCACAGTAAGACAATATCATCCGCATACTCAAGTTTTTTAATGATACGGCGACCACCGAGATCTACACCACCATTACTTACATCCGTCAGAGCTGTTTCCAGAATGTCATCGATGGCAAAGTTGAAGAGGAATGGTGAGATTGGGCAACCCTGCCTAACCCCACTGCTTGAATGGAATAGTGGAGAAAGGTGGTTGTATGCCCTCACTCTGTCTGAGGTGTTTGTGTATAGGGCTTTTAGGATGTTAATAAACTTCTCAGGCACACCCTTCTTCAATAGACAATCCCAGAGAACAGTTCTGTCCAACGAATCGAAGGCAGCCCTGATGTCAAGAAACACTACGATTGTTGGCCTTTGATAAGTATGGCGGTGTTCTTACACTTGGCGGAGGGTGAAGATATGATCAATACATCCTCGACCGGAACGAAACCCAGCCTGCTACTCGCGAGTCAATCCTTCTCGGGTTTTGAACAACCTACGAAGTATAACGGAAGCCAATAGCTTGGACGCAATCGGAAGTAGACTTATCCCCCGATATATATATATATATACTACATCCCTAATTATTTAAAATATCATGTGATTATTTTGTGCATAAATTAAGATATACCTGAATTTAGTACATTTACAGGTCGCATTTGATTACACCTTACTGAAAACACACTCGTCCAAAATGTTCAACTGCTCAGTCATATTCCTAATTCGAATCTTTGTTTGTTCCTAACACTAGATGGTTAGTTTCAGTAAACAAAACGAATTGTTAGTTGGGATTATTGGATAAGTTTGTTTAACTAAATATGAACTTGAACTTAACGTTACTCTAAGATTGTGCGTTTCACATTTTACTACCGGGTTACTTACCACCAATCGTAACGAAGCAAAAACGTGGTGTTCTTGAATAAAAGATCATAAAAGCAAATGGGTTACAAGGGTCGGCTACATATTGCAGTGTTTCTAATATGTACAAACTACTAATAGGAAGGTTCGTAGTTCACTTAATGAAAAATTGATTTGAAGGAGATTTTATTGACTGATTGAATGCAATTTTTTTAGCATAAGCCAAGCTAAGAATAAAAGTACATACCTCCTTTCCGTCTCATCTAAATGAGAAAATAGGACATTTTTGGCGATAGCCTTTGAAAGAGCTGTCATCGTTTTATAGTCCTTCGGTACAACCTTATTGAAACAAAACAATGATAATATATCGATAATAAGAATGAATTTAAACAGAAAAATCACAATCAAAAGAACTCAATATAACCACTACATAGTGACGCTTTTATGCTAAATATCTTGACGTCTTGATAATTGAAAAATGGTTTTGAGCATTTATTTTCCTAATTTTATTGGTTGATATACTGTCGCTAGTTTTTATACTATAATTATGACAGGTGTTAATGCATGTGGTTATCAAAGTTCGTTTGCTTTCGTTCTATTATCTTGAATTTCTGCCGGAATTGAATTTAGCTGTTTGGCTCTGTTATCCTTTTCTAAACTTTCCAGTTGTATGGTTACAAAGGCAATATGAAGATCAGTAAGTCTTGTTGGAAAGACTCAAATGGCTAGAGGAAGGTTTATTGTTGTTATACAGCCTACTATTCAAAATGAACGTAGATGACAGAACATTAAGATTTAAGTAGTTGAGAGTCGTGGTGATACACAATGACATTATTAAGTGACAAAATAAAGCACTAAAGTGTGATAAGACACTTCAATTATAAGCTGGAATTAGAGAGATTATGTTAAGATGTGAAGCTTTATAAAGAAACGACATTGAATAAGACACAATTACCTTCTTAACGTAAGATGCAGCATCTTCTTCTGTATAAACTTCACCGCTAACTGCTCCTCTTCGAGATCGACGTCTAGTTAAACTAACTCCAGGTGATACAGCTAACAAGCCTCTCGTCCCCCCACCATTTCCTCCATCATAACCACTTCCATCCTCATTCATATTGTTGGATTCGTAACTACTATCAACTTTCAAAGGAGATTCGGTCAAACTTTTTTCAAGATTGTTAGGAATAAGATTATCTGTATCACAGGAGTATCGATGGTTATTCATTTCTGAAGATTGCCCACAATTTTGAGAGCTTACGGAGGGAATAATAACACCAAAGCAACCACTTCCATGACTTTTACCTTCATTTTGGAAAGGGCGACTGGAGGTATTTGATATAGGAAATGTGTTTGAATCTTCATTGCGTTCTGAGTGTTTATGAAAAGCGAACCCAGTTACGTGACTAGTTGATGCTGCAGTACATTTCTCATTACAAACCTAAAAAATTGAACAAAATATAATAAGACAATAAAAAGTAAGATCACATTTAGACACCGGTTTATAGGTGATAAAATTTGCAAAGTAACCTAAAACCCTGCATAAACACACCAGTTACATTAAACACATTTTAGTAACTCGGAAGACAGAGAGCGGATTTTGCTATTTTTCATCCCAGACAATTGAACCAAATAATTCGCAACTTCCGTATATTTCCTATACTTAATAACTATTTTATGACTACCTTAGGTAAACTTTATCATCACTTTAAGTTACGAAAAAGGTATTAAAATGACAGTGTGTACACAGAACTATGTACGAGACTAGTGTGATTTTGGGTAATCATTCCTCACACACTATATAATATCCAAGTGCGAAAAAGAAGGCTCTTGAACACTATCCTCAGATAATTTAACGAACGTTTATATCTGAGTTTCATACCGTACAAGTGGATGCAACTAATAATACAAATCAGTTATGGGCAGGTGGAAAGTAGGGAGAAAGATTCTACTCAAATATTCTTAACTGATTACCTTATTCTTCCTTCATTATTATTACCACGTTTCCAATTAAATGTAAGCTACATAAATGCACTTATGTCTAGTAACCACTTAAAGCCTTCATTAAACCCATTAATATCCGCATTAATTTCAGAATTGAGCTACAGAACTGTTTGGGTACCTGATATCGAATGCAAACTATCTATAAAATACGGTACCATAATCTATGTGAAATAAACTTTAAACCACTAAATCTCTTGTGCGGAGGTATATGTAACGGCTAACTCGATATTAGAGCACACCTGTGTACTTTTGTTTTCACCACATCAACGTAATCATAATTACTGACCCTCGTATGACTACTGGTTGGGAATGCATTGAGTGTTTCTAATTGGAGAGATTTGTCTGTCTACTTGCTGGTTAGTTCTAACAATCATATTTAAACTCAAACATATCAAGACAAATTCAACACAGTGGTTGCAAGATAAAAATGAGGATCCACATTATTTCGTGGTTCCTCTCCTGCTGCTTATTGGTGTATTTATATTGACTTGTTTAATATTGTGCACAGTAAAAACAACATAACCTCCCTACCAAAAACAGGTTTCTGTGTCGCACCTTAGGACTACAAGTTTCTACCAAAGCTTTCATTCATATAACTAAACGAGTGGAATTTGATAGTCCCAGTCAGCAATTGATTATGTTGACCTAAACTACTAATTTGAGCTTTTAATGGTACTAACTAAGCGTTTCATGTAAATTTGGAGGTTTATGCGCATAAATATTATTGACCAATGGTTGCTATAGATATTTAATGTCATAACTTGCCTCTAGCTTCTCAAAATACTCACGGAGAAATGCAATTGGATTGCTAGGACGGTGCATGCACAAGTTAACAACGCAGTCCCTGAGAATTTCGTGCACATTATGCTGTTTGACATAATCCTCAACATCGCTCATAAACGACTCATCTTCCATAATACCCAACTTCTCGGAAGCATCCGCAACTCTCGTAATAGCCGCCCGTTCGGTGAGAAATTTAGGTATCCAATACCTTGTGAACGATCTTGTATCAAACGATTGATTTCTTTGCTCTCGCTTCCTGTTGTTTCGGTATACTTTCAAGTCTTCGTTAATGCTTATTGGGTGTTAGTCTAGCCACTCGACTGCACTAGTTCTAGTCAATTCGATAGGTATTTGTGTGTAGATCACCAACGTAGATGATCTATGTCGAAATGATTGGAGACCTAGTGGATCTGTTTCATGTAGTCTGAGTGGGTGTATTTGTTTCAGAGCAGTAGGGTTTCTGGAAAGCAGAAGCTGAGATGTCACGAGATAAGGGGTTGATTGGTTGAAATGAGGAAGGCAATAAAGAGAAAATCAGGATGTAGCAAAGCTCAGAGCAGACGATTGTCCGAAGTAAATAAACAAAAATGATCAGTTAATAATGCGGATGATGTGAGCTGTCCATAATCAAAGACTAAAGACGTGAACGCAGATAATAATGAACAAAATAAGAATGAGCTAATGACAAGTGATAATCATAATAGTCAATGGGTTATGAAACATACATTACCCACAGCTAGTCTAAGCGGAAGATCGTAATCCATGAGTGAGTGCATATTTGTAAAGTCTTGTCTTGAGGCTATCCACTGTGGAGAGTCTATGTTCTTTTAGGTTGAGAGAGCGTTTTAAACAGGAGGAACTGTAGATGAAATAAGCGAAAACATATCTGGATATGGTGTTTGTACTTGATGGCCCACTGATTGAGAATTTCAAAAATAATATGTTCATTCCTCCTCGTATAGTTCCACTTGCCGTAAAGTACACTATTTTGTGATTTCTTATTTAGTTCATTGGTTCGAATACTTTTAATTATCATACTGAGTCTTTGCTTTCTGATGTCCAGTTTTTCGGTGGTGACTTCCGGTAAGATGTTCTTCTTGAGGTGACCTGAGGCACTTAGTATGTTGTACGTTTTAATGAGGTCATATCTCGTTCTCCCGTACCTCAATCACGTTCATCTCAGGGTTTAAGGTCTATATTTTTAAGATTTGTCCCTCAGGTCAATCATTCACTTAGTTCCCTTTCTACGTGCGTGCTCTAAGAAGTTTATATATCTTTTTAGGGGATAGGATGCACCAAAGTGGGACCGTCTGTAATTTTCTGAGTGTCGAAGACAATGTTGGGTGGTTGTACTAAGCTGTTTTCGTTCCTTCAGTTGCACTATCAAAAGTTTGAACTGGCTTCCAAGATTACTGTGAAGTCAATCGGGAGAGGATTATCATGGACGGCGTAAGCTGTTTTTGTCCTGTGAGGCTGAGTGAGCGTGATGCGACAGTATGACAAATTATAATTAAGTCCATTTTAAAATTTTTGTTCCCTATTATTGTTGGTTTGTTTTTGAGCTCAAGAGATGTGACCAGTGCCTGAAGGTGAAGACTCAGGTTTATCAATACGGCAGAAATGTAGTGACTGTTGTTATTCAATGAGCTATTCTTAGTCCCGAGGAATATAATAAATTCTACCATACGTGACTACTCGGTAAGGACTTTGGACAATCCGGTCTTTGATGAACTTCAAAATATGACTACTCGCAAGCAACAGAAGCCAGGCCAGTGATTCAGCTTGCTACGTTTTGCCTCTGATTCGCCGTTATTCCACCTGACATTTACAATGGAAGTGATATTAAATAAGTATTCCAGAGTATGTCTAGCAACTAAAGATAATATTAAAGAATATATTAGTTAGGAAAGAAAACCTTTTACGTTTGTCAACCGTCTGTATACAGTAACTTTGTCACGATGCATCCGTGGTGTTAGCTTCTCGAATGTGTGCGTTTTGTACGGGATTGCCTGTGAGAGAATTAGATAGAAATGAATAACAGGATAGTAAGCACAGAACTCAATCCACAACTACTTGAGTTAATGAAATTAATCGCTAAGTTCCGATGATTTCAAAGCAAGAAATCAAAACAACCTATGAACTGAAATTGGAATTTAATTTGTCAAGTTTTCCATAAGCTACATTGCTTCAGTTTGTTTGGAAGCGGTCGTCAAGTGATCATTCCTATCTGGATTCTGCAGATATGAATTCGTATCATCAAACGAAAATTGTAATTAATTTTCTAGATACTTGATTATTCTGTCTAGTTGTGTTTCTCATTATTAACACTAAAGCAATATGCAGGAATAAAGAATAAATTCATTTCATGAGTCAAACTTAGGTTATTCAGTTAATAGACTTGATTTGTTTCTATTGATCGGAATGATGCGACTGCCTAAATTAAATACTTTTACACCAAAGTCACACCACTTGATGATTTTGCATTTTGCTCTACTCCATCCTGGTACGCTATTCAGTTACATTAGAGCATTCGCAAGATATGGAGAACGTTACCGTCGGAATGATTTTCTGAGTTAGACGCAATAATAAGGGCTATTATACACGGGCCTCAAACAAGCTGTTGTATTTACCGGAACGTTGTGACCGGGTGATTTATCCACGTTAGTCACCCACTTTACATATAACCGGTTTTTGTTCCACTACAGATTGGACGGGACTATAAATATGAGGTTTATGTGGCTGATGAGCCGAACGAAATGAAACCAATAGTAAGTGTGATTGAGCAAGAATGAAAGTCAAAACAGTCTGAGATTTTAAGCCAGTCATTGACGCGTGAAGTCGACAATGCTTGACTTATCCTTATTTGAACACCTCTAAGTCGTGTCGATATTTAATTGTTATCATGTTTTTCATGGGTTGCATAACTTGTAAAAGTCAAGCATTCTATAACTTATTAGGTTGACCATAAGAAGATATTTTTGATTCAGGACGATCCAAGTTGTAGAGAAACAGATGTGGTCATATGTAGAGGTTCAACGATCTAGAGTTTATAGACAAGGAAAGTTACATGTACCTGATTACCAAGAGCTACTCATCGCTCTGGTGAAATAATTGGACACAAAAATGTATGATTAAATACCAAGAATATTCCGTTCACACTAAAATACTTGGTGTGGGAGAATGTACTATTTATTTGGTGGAAAAGAGACAACGTGTAAACATGTTTGGGGTAAACATGTATAAAAAAGGCAAACTAACTAAATTCGAAATTACGAATCCTCTAGAATTTATCTTCATAATCTGACTCTATCAAATATGTGACCCTGCCTGTATGGCTATCGATAGGAATGATAACAACAATGATGAAATCGACCATGCATCAAATAAGACACTTAAAATATTTTGACTGCGAATATAGTGGTGGAAGCTTAGTATGTAGTAAATTTAGGCACCAAGTTGGATGCTCAGGGGACAGTTTCAGATTATGATGCGTATTATGGTAAAATACCCACAAAATTACAAATGCGATTGAACGTTGAGAGCGGTAATGAGGCATTTAATGCAAGTTATTTTTAAAGGCGGGAAACAAAACTTTAAGATCAAGAGTTCGGGTTATACATCAGGGTTGATAGTTTTTAATAGGTTTTAACGTTAAGAGTTAAAGTTGGTGCATTCATCATGAATTAAGATTAAATTAAATATGAGGAGGTCATGATTGCGAGCCAGGCTACAAAGCATTTCTGATGTTAGGCAGTTGCATCATTCCGATCAATAAAAGCAAATAAATATAATTAGCTGAACAAACAAATAAGGTTAACAGTACCACGTCGTGGATAATACATTGACAAAGCAATCAATAATTTATGTTGGTGTATGTTATTTAGGGCGGCTACAATCCTAATCGTAGCGAATTGCCCGAGAAAAGATCTCACGATCCTAATGGGAGACCTAAACGCCAAAGTCGGAATGGACTACAGCAAATATGAAGATATCATGGGATGACATGGATTGGGAGAGAGAAAAGAAAATGAGAAAAGATTTGCAAACCTATGTGCACTCAACAAATCGGATATAGGTGGCACAAAGTTCCCACACTAACGCATACACAGAGCTACATGAGTCTCACAGGAGAACCAGATAGATCATATTTGTATCATTGAAAAATTCAGAAAGACAATGGAAGACGTGAGAACCAGGAGAGAAACTGACATAGATTCAGATCACCACTTGGTTGTGGCTAAGATGAAACTGAAGCGAAAAAAGCATTGGATAGCTAGGGAAACAGTAGTACAAAGGTTCAATACAGCCTCCCTACGAGAAACTTACAAACACAACCAATTCAAAATAACTCTCAACAACAGGTTCTAAGCCTTGCAAGATCTATTGAGAGAAGAAGAAACTACGATGGAGGACAACTGGAAAGGGATCAAAGAAGCATTAACTTCAACGTGCCAGGACGTGCCGGGCCGCAAGAAGCACCATCATATGAAACGGATCTCTTTGGAAACCCTGGACAAGATTCAAGAAAGGACGTACAGGAAGACATCAATTAACAGACGATCAAGAACCGAGAAAGTCAAGGTACAAGCTGAATACACAGAGGCAAACAAGCAATTGAAGAGGAGCATTAAAGCAGACAGGCAGAAATACGTGGAAAAAGATGCAAGAGAAGGAAATATGAAACGACGAATAAACTAGCGGGGAAGCATAGTAAACCCGAGAGACCGGTCAAGGACAAAGAAGGCAAGACAATCACCGACATTCAAGAACAGAGGAAAAAATGGATAGAATACTTCCAGGAACTCTTGAATAGACCAGCTCCATTGAACCTACCGGACATCGAAGCAGCACATGCAGACCTTCCTATAGATGTCACTCCACCAACGACTGAAGAAATCAGGATGGTCATCAGAAAATTCAAGGACGGGAAAGCAGCAGGACCTGACATTATACTACCTGAAGCTCTGAAGTCAGATATAGAGGTAACTGCAAGTATGCTTCACGCTTTATTCAGGAAAATTTGAGAGGAAGAATAAGTGCCGACAGGCTGGAAAGAACGCCTCATTAAAATACCAAAGAAAGGAGATCTGAGCAAATATGAGAACCACAGAAGCATCACATTACTGTCAGTACCAGGATAGGTTGTCAATAGTGTTGCTGAACCAGATGAAAGACGCAATAGATACCCAACTTCGAGCTCAACAGGCTGGATTCCGTAAGGACCGGTCGTGCACAGACCGAATCGCGACACTACGGATCATCGTTGAACAATCAATCGAATGGAA